TCACAACAACAGGTTTCGTGGCCCGATGGGGAGCTCCACCGAAGGCCCCAGTGGCACCGCCCGCGTGCGTCACCACCCGCACCCACTTCGGCGCACCCGTCACACGTTTCGAGGCCCCATAGAGAGCTGCACCGAAGGCCCCAGTGGCGGCGCTCACATGCGTCCCCGCCACGCATCCCAGTACACCCCTCACGCGCTTCGTGGCCCCATAGGGAGCTCCACCGAAGGCCCCAGTAGCGGCGCTTACATGCGTCTCCGCCACCCATCCTGGCCCCCCCCCCCCCCTCGTGAGCGCCTGCCTGGCGACGCCGACCGGGAGTTACAGTCACTGATTGCAGAGCGGCGTCGCACTCGGCGACGTTCAGTTTTGAGTGCGCAAGGGAAGATTAGCGTGGCGAAAGACACAACCATATGCAGCTGTGAATACCGAAAGTATGAATATCATATTCGCCCGCGCTCCCTATGGAGCCACGAGCCGTGCGAGGGGCGTGCCGACATGCGTGGCGGGGCACGCAACGCGAGCGAAGACGAGATGTCTGTGTGCGAGAGACTGAGAACGAGTGAGTCTGATTGTGGATGAGTCTGCGCGTGCGTGAGTCTATGCGCATAAATGTCGACGCCCATGTCGGCGCGCCTCTCACGAGGATTGCGCCCGTTTCCTTCCCGTTCTTCTTCTCCCTCTTTGCCCGTGCAAGCCCGCGTCCAAGGCTGCGGGCGCGGCGCCGCACGGAGTCCCCGCGACGCGCGCTGGTCGCCCCGAAGCCGTCCCGGCGACGCGCGCGGGTCGTCCGCTGCGCGGAGCAGAGAGAGCGAGCAGGCTGGCTCCCGCCCGGGATGCGCGGCCAGAAAGCGGCCTCAAGACGTCGACTACGACGAAAAACTTCCGGAAATCGAAAGTCGCCGCCATGCGAACTCCGCCCCTGGGCCGCCATGCGAGTTCCACCACGGAGTACCTTAGGTGGAGCTCCCTGTGGGGACACGAAACGCTGTATTGGGTGGTGGATGACGCATGCGGGCGGTCCCACTGGGGCCTTCGGTGGAGCTCCCTATGGGGCAGCGACGCGCTGTACTGGGTGGTGGATGACGCACGCGGGCGGTCCCACTGGGGCCTTCGGTGGAGCCCCCCTATGGGGCCACGAAGCGCACGCTGTGCTGGGTCGTGGGTGACGCATGCGGGCGGTCCCACTAGAGCCTCGGTGGAGCTCCCTATGGGGCCACGAAACGCTGTGCTTGGTGGTGGATGACGCATGCGGGCGGTCCCGCTGGGGCCTTCGGTGGAGCTCCCTATGGTGCCACGAAACGCAGCAGTGGGTGGTGGATGACGCATGCGGCGGTCCCAGTGGGGCCCTCGATGGAACTCCCTATGGGGTCACGAAGCGCTGTGCTGGGTCGTGGATGACGCATGCGGGCTGACGCATGCGGGCGGTCCGACTGGAGCCTTCGGTGGAGCACCCTTGTGGGGCTACGAAGCGCTGTACTTGGTCGTGGATGACGCACGCGGGCGGTCCCACTTGGGCTTTCGGTGGAGCCCTCTATGGGGCTTCGAAACGCTGTGCTGGGTGGTGGATGACGCACGCGGGCGGTCCCACTGGGGCCTTCGGTGGAGCCCTCTATGGGGCTTCGAAACGTTGCGCCGGGTGGTGGATGACGCACGCTGGCGGTCCCATTGGGGCTTTCGGTGGAGTTCCCCATGGAGCCACGAAGCGCTGTGTGGGGTGGTGGATGACGCATGCGGACGGTCCCGCTGGGGCCTTCGGTGGAAACTTTTTATGGGGCCACGAAGCGCTGTACTGGGTGGTGGATGACGCATGCGGGCGGTCCGATTGGAGCCTTCGGTGGAGCCCCCTTTATGGGGCCACGAAATGCTGTGCTGGGTGTGGATGACGCATGCGGGCGGTCCCAGTGGAGCTTTCGATGGAGTTCCCTATGGGGCCACGGAATGAGGGAGGAGCGGAAGGAGGAGGAGGAGGAGGAAGAGGAGGAGGGAGGAGGAGGAAGGAAGGAAGGAAGGAATAAGGAAAGAAAGCGCGGGGACCGTCTTGTCAAAACGAAAACCCAACACCACAGGAGGGTTGGGAACACACGCCGAATCGATATCAGCAAGAACACAACGAAGCTGTTGGAACAAAAGCTCAAAGCGAAGCGGGAGGCGCACATCAGCAAGATATTTCCAAATTTCCGTGGGGGTTCTGGGCTTACAGCAGTAGGGTGCCCCAAGATGAGACAACACATAGCGGCTATCAAGGATGATTCGGGCACAGAATACGTATACCGAAACCGTAATTGGGAAGTTGTTGCCAAATTCTACGAGACGCTGTACACTGGACGCCAGAGCGCACTTGGAGTCTGCGCGTTCGCTGCTGAAGATATCTCGCCGCTCGTTGTGGGTGAATTGGAACGGTCTTGGAAATCTCTCAAATGTGGCAGGTGCAGGGAAGGCTGGTCATTGAAGGATGCGCATAGTGGATTCAGCAGTTGTGGGTAGGCCTAGTAGGCTTCGAAAAGGTTTCAATACTGTGGAACATTCCGCGCCCTAGGAAGTTATCCGGTCTTTGGGAGTGGGCGCGCATTATTTTTCATTGTTGCAAAATTTGTGCCGGCTCCAAATCAAGAACTTGTTTTCTTTATCTCGTGGTGTCAAACAGGGGGAACCAATTTCTGCATTGTTGTTTGTTGCTGTGATGGAAGAGTGCTTTCGCGTATTGAAAAAAGGGCACGGATTGAATAAGCGCAGGCCCGGGCGATATTCCGGTTTTGTCGTCGACTATACACTGGACCCGCTCACCAACTCGAGGTTTGCTGATGACGTTTTTCTCCTGGCATGCAGCAGGGCGGATGTTGTGAACATGCTGCGGGACTTGTCGCAGGACGCTGCGAAGTACGCCCTGGTAGTGCATTTTTGGAAAACGAAAATCTTGACAAATGCCACAATGAATGTTCCCACGTATTTGCAAGTGTCTGGCGAGAGCGTTGAAATCTTGAAGCAGGAGGAGGCAGAACGGTACTTGGGCCGTCAACTGTCGCTGGGTGATTATTATAACGTGGAACTTACACACCGTTTATTTGCGGCGTGGGGAGCATTCGCAACATTCAAGCATGGGATGTTTTCGCGGTCATACACGCTGCGGAAACGGTTGCGCTTGTTCGAGAGCGTCGTCACCCCGGCTGCGCTGCATGGGTGTGAGTGTTGGACTTTGGATTATTCCTCCAGGGACAGACGAAACATTGCGAGGAGGAAGATGATTCGCAGCATGTCCCAGACAAGAAGGGGCGCTATGGAGTCTTACGTCGATAGTATCTGACGTTTCACGGAGATCGTGGAGGCCGATTGCATAAAAGCCCGCATCAAGAACTGGGTTGACCTTCGGCGCAATCGCAAAGCATTGCTCGCCGCCCGCGTCTTCTTGGACCTGGAACACAAGTGGTGCAAGCGGATATTGAATTGGAAGCCGTGGTTCAGAACGGACGTCAAACGATTTGTCGGCAGGCAGCGTCTGAGATGGGTGGATTCGTTGAATACGTTAGTTTCCCCCGTTGTCTGTCCCACCAATCTCCCGGTCGCACGTGCACGGTCTGCCCCTCAAGGGGCCGCTCTTGCCACCGGATCAGGCAAGCAGAGGTCTTATCTTATCTTCTCTTGTCTTACCTTGTTGCACGCGCAATCACCCCGTTCTCCCAGCCGCCTTGTTTGGGACAAAACCCATGCGGAAACCATTGCGGCTACGGATTGGCATTTGCTGGCGCGTCTTTACGGCTGCGTTGGCGCGCCCATCTGCTAGCGCGCCGAGCGACCAGCTGCTTTGGCACAGGTGGCGCGACCGCGATGTCGCTTACCGATGGGAACCTTCAGCGCGCATCAAAGGCCGCGCTGGCGCGCGCGGGCACTGCAGTGCGGGTCGGTGACTCGAGCGGGTATGATTCATGATCCCGTCGACAAGTGCGGCAACGACGATGGGAATAGCGATGGTGGTGGCGATGATGGCGATGACGACGGCAAGGCCAGTGACGGCCCCGATGCTGGTGACGACGATGCCGTGATGAGGATGATTGCATTGATGGTAGCGGCGTTGGCAACGATTGACGATGATGATCGGTGCGGTGATGCGATGGCGGTGCTGAGGGTGATGGGGAAGTGCGCGCAAACAAAATATCAAGAAAAAACAATGATAAACATGTGTTTGCATTATGTGTTTGAAGAGATCACCCAGAACGCGTCGAACGTGAATGGCGTTGGAACGGTTTCGGCACGCGCGCGAGGCGGCGCGCGCATGTGGTCCGCAAGGTGTTACCGCAGATACGTTCGGCGAATCACCGCCGCCCCTTGCCTTGTTGGGAAGCGCCTCTGTGACCCAAAGTTTGGTGAGAGTTTGGCCAAGCTATGCCGCGATGTAGCCCCCCAGCCGTTCTGAAAATTCGTCAGGGGGACATTTGGGGGAGGACGAGAGGGAGGGCCACGAGAGGGAGGAAACGGAGGAGGAGGAGGAGGAGGGGGAGGAGGGGGAGGAGGAGGACGGGTAAGAGGACGAAGAGGAGAAGGAAGCCTCTTGGGAGACCTCTTGTGGTTTTGGGGGCCTTCTGGGAGGCTTCCGGTGGGCCTCTTGGAGGCCTCGTGGGGGCCTCCTTGGGTTTCCTCGGGGCTTTTATGGGCTGTTTGGGAGGGGCTTGTTAGGGACCGCTTTGGCCGTTTTAAGACCTTCCTGGCCAGCTTGACGCTGTCGGAGCCATCGTGGGGGCCTCTTTGGTCCTACTTGGGGCCCTTTTTCGGGGCGCTCCAGGGCAGTATTGGAAGCCATCTCGGGCGGCTTGGAGGCCTCTTGGGCCGTCTTTGGGACCCTCTTAGGGCCTTTTTGGGTGTCTCTTGGTCTGTCATGGGGCCATCAGGGAGGCCTTTTGGGCGATCTTGAGGGCCTTATGGGCGCTCTTGGGCGCCTGAGGTCCCTCTGCGCCACCGACTTAGAAATATGTGTGTGATTGCGTGGAGCGCCTTGCTGCGCCCGAAGGAGAAGTGGAAGCGTGACTTTCTCGTGGCTCAGAAGAAGGTGCGCCAAGAGACCGAGAGGACGACCAGCGTGTGCACGCATTTCTGGTCGCTCTTCTTTGCCTTTGGGGTGGGGCTCCTGCTGTCCAAGGGCGAGGGCTTCATAACGAGGATATGGTCGCTGGTGCAGGACATCGACGTCGGCTGAGGCCGCGGCTGGCGCTGTACTATATAGATCGAACGGCAGATGTAGATGAACTGTTCAGTGTGCTTCGCCGCCAGATTGGCCCTGGCCCGGATCACGTGTTGCGCTGTCGCATCACAGAGCGCGGTCGCAGGACCCAGGGTCATGGACGTCGCCCCCCGCAGAGACGCTCGCTCCTCCCCCTTCCTCCCCCTCCCTCCCCCGCCTCCCTCCCTCCCTCCTCCCTCCTCCCTCATCCTCCTCCCCGCCAGAGGAAGAGGAGGCAGGAGGCCGCGGCCCCCTTCATCCTCCTCGTCCCTCCTTCCCCCCTCTCCTCGCTCGCCCGCTGGGGCTCGAAAGATTGAGCATGTGCCAGAAGATAGGATGCAGAATGGCATGCAACGAATTGGCGGATCAGGGGACCGTCGGGACAGAGCCGCCACCGCTTCCCGCGAGTCCCCCCGGCAACCCCCACACGCCTCGCCAGGGAGAGGCGGTCCCCGCCGTGGGCGTCGGAGAGAGGAGTGGCGTGTGTCCCCGTGGTGTGGTGGAACACTCTGTCGTCACTCCGAATTACACCAGAGAAAAAACCCAATCAGTGGATGGCTTGATGAGATCGATGGTGAGATCGATTGAGTGAGATGGATAGTGAGATCGATCATGAGATCAATGATGAATCGTGGGATCGATGAAGAGATCGATAAGGAGATCGACTGGGAACCCGGGAACCTGGGAACCCATAACCCACCGAAATCGGCCCGGAACCAATAACCGGGAACCCGAGAACCGGGAACCCAGGAATCCCGAAACCCAGCGTGCCACCAAAATCGGCGGGGAACTTCCGCTAGGACCCTTTCAGCACTGATTGGGGAACAACCCCCCCGAGTCAGCCAACGAACTATTCAGTAGCAGCGCATTCAGGGCGCAAGGCTCAGACAGAAGAGGGGGTCGCATGCAGTCGTGCAGCCCCCAGCCGCGGCGCGCTCGGGTGAACAGTCAGCAGAGGCCCGCGTCGCTTCTTCCTCTTCCATAGGCCCCCCCTCGCACCCTGAGTGGTGTGGTGGGCCATTCGCTGCACGGGCGCTGGCAGCACTCCATGACCCGTCTGAGTGGTGTGGTGGGCCGTCTGGATGGCATTCGCTGCACGGGCGCTGGCAGCACGAACCGTGCAGCACAATCTCCGAGCCGTTCTCCAGCCCGAAGTAAGCAGCCTCCCTCTCCGTCCAAACTTTTCCCGCGCGACACACAGAGCATCTCTGCCAGAGATGCCTGGCCGAGTCCGTTAGCAAAAATTCGACGGCGTGCGTCAGCTAAGTTGGGCGATCGCCCGATTTCGGCCATAGCAGGAAAACGAAAGAGGCGTATGGGAAGCAACGGGAGGGGGGTTGGCGGCGCATACAGGCAACATAGCACACGCGCGCACTTCGCATGGAGAAGCTCCGAAAGGGTCGTCGCTACAGTCATGCTGCGAGACGGGCCTACTTCGAAGGGACTGAATCAACATGCGCTCGCACACACGGTCCAAACTTCAACGCACGTTTATGCCCACAAATGTTCATCTCGCATCCATGCCATCTCGTTGCCTCCAAGGTGCCGAACTCCCAACGGAGCATCGTGGGCGCGATTTGGTTTCAGCAGAGGCTTCACTTGGTTGTCTGGCTCAGCCAGCTGATCCAAAGTTGTGCACGTTGCTCACCCAGTTCATCCAAACGTTTGCACTTGTGCTCCTGTGCAGCAGTATTACCAGCTCGTGCCAGGTTCAAGATAGTGTGAACCGTGTGCGCGTGAAGCACTGACTCCTCCTAAGTGCGCTATGTGCGAAGGGCCTGATGCTGGGGTGAGTTGCATGGCCATCCCTCGCAGCAAACACCACGTACGCGTTCAGGGCGGGATCAGGGATGGGAGGCGGGATAACAGCAGTGGTGGCAGTGAGGTCCGACCCTACGTCGAAAGTCGCATCATCAGGGGTCCAGTTTTTGGCACCTGCCCTTGCGGGCGGAAGGGTGGACCTGAGACCCGAACAGCAGGTACATTGGCAAACCATTCAGCCAGGCCGCGGACCCGATCAGTGTGTTGCAAGACGTGGCGGCCATCTAACCACTCCTGCAACTCCTCGGGGGCTGGGCGGAATTGAGAATTGGCCAAACGCATCCGACAGTTGGGAGCTCCTTGAATATGCTTCAGCAATCGCATCGTGCTGCCAAAGCTGGGTCAAACACATTTGGGGTAAGTGGTTCCAGTGTCAAGGCTGGTTTTGCTTGTGTCCCCATTCCACCGCGCTGCGACGTAAGAAAATGTGTCCCCATTGTGAGCCTTGCCGATGTGCATTCTCACATATCTTGCACATTCTGGAGTGAACACGCAAGCAAGCAAGCAAGCAAAAACGTAAGCAAGATGGCCAATCATCCTCAAGGACGCGCGGGCTGGTAGGCGAGGGCGCTCGTGGTTCCTGCCAGGATTCGCTGTGGAAAATCCGCCGCGCTCAGCCCAAATGATATTGTGAGCTCCACCACGGCTAGGACTAAACAGCCCAGCGGGAGCAGGAGGAAGAGGATAAGGAAGAGGAGGACTTGAAATCAACATCCAACACGCTGCGACGATCGAGCCATTCCCTCTCTATCTCTATATATATATATATGTATGTAGATGTATGTTGCCCACTGCTGCCTTGGGCGGCATCGTCGCCTCTTGGTCGTCCAATTTCGCGGGGCTCCGCCGGGGTTGCACAGGACCTCCTTGACGAAAGAGCTAGCGCTGCTGCTCGCACTTGATTATACATTGCGAGCCAGCTTGAAGCCAGAGTCTCTGAAACCGGTTGAGCTGACGCTCTTCTGAGGACTTTCTCATTGCTAATTCTTGACGGCGTAGGTTCCAGCGCCTAGGTGAAGTCGCAATACCAGTACCTCGTTTCATTATATCTTCATGCCTGTTCCAGCTGCGTTTTTCGGCGAGGGCGATCATACTGGAACAGCTACCGTGTTCGCGAGTAGGTGCGCGCCGAAGGATCTACGCCAGCCCGCTTTTTGTTTCTCGGGGCACCGGGGCCCGCCTGGCGGCAATGACGAGGCCAGCGAAAATTTGGCCCGCGGATGTGAAACTATTCTGCATCGAATCATCTCGGGTGCGAGGAACGCCATCGAGGTTTCCACCTGGTGGTTTGCAGGGCCAGCGGGGAGTCTTCGGTCCGCGCGTGGCGGACGGCAGCCGAAATTCCCAGCTGAGATGGAAGTTTGCGGTTTCGACGACTGCTGCGACGTCGCGGGGCGATTCGGGGCTTAGGGCAGCGGTGGCTGTTCCCCGCGCGCGGCTCGCCTGAGATCGCCGTTCACGGGCCCGGCCCAAGTGGGGGCGAAACAGATGATGAGTCGGTATGAGTGCGAAGCAGGCTGTGGCGCAGCGAAGTTCTTCACCATGATCGTATATGTGGCCCCTAGGGCGACAACCGCTGCGTTGCGCTGCCCAGAGCATCGGTTGATGCGACCTCCTTGCCAGAGGGAGCGGCGAGCCGACATCGGACTGCATCTTTCTACTGGTGCGTCGCATCGCTGTCGACGTGTTTGAAGACATGGCAGGCGCAATGGGTTACGGTGGCTGGAGGAGGCGATGTTGGATGTGTGCGTTCATGAAGCGGCGGAGGCAGGCGACGTTGGATTTTCTGATTACGCAGTGATTGGGCGCAAGCTGGTCAGACGCGACGCTGGGAATCGAAGAAAAACAACCGACGCTGGCCATCGCCGAGAAAGATTCTGCTGATCAGCTGACCATCCGAAGAGCCATGAAGGGCTGCTGGGAAGACGACGAACTCAAGAAGCGCGGCGGCAATAATGAGCGCGTCCATATTCGAATATTCCTCATTGATGCTTGCATTTTTCCCCAAGCAGTGCTTGCACTGAGGGGTTCTTGCTTGTCCTAACCATCTGGGGACCAGCGTTGTTTTTTTGTCGCCGCGCCGCCCGTCGCCGCCGTCGCAGTCGCTGTTGCCGTCTAGATTTTCTTTAAATGCAACAAATTAGATTATACCCCCCAGCGGTATCCATTCCCCTTTTTCGTATTGCCATTTACATCCGGTTCTGACACATCGTCCATCCTAAATATGCACTCGTACCATCCCAGCCAGGCCTGTATCGACCCCCCCGCCCCCCCGCCATCCTTTGCAAAAACTACTATGCGGGCGCACTTGTTTTCAATAGTCATCCATCTTCAAGAATCCCTTGCAGCAAATGTGACGACGTGCGCACGCTCGCGTCGTCGTGCGCGCATGTCGAACGTCCTTCAAAAACATGATATGTCGCAAGGATTTCAAAGTCGAGTTTCCAAAGAAACAATATTACAAAAAACACATGGCTTCGCAACACGGGTGTTCAGAAAAAAAAGTTTGCGTGCACGCTCTTGCGAATCTTTACCAAAACCATTTGCTTTAAGAAAATCATAGGAGGCTACCGACTCGGCTTCGGTATTCGAAAGCCTTTTGTTTCATGTGTTTTTTTCCATGTGTTTTTTGTTTCGAAATCGAGTGTCCAAAAACATATATAACCACATGGTTCCGCAATGCTGTCTTTTGTTTTTTCCCAACTATAAAGCAAAACTTGCGTGCGCGCTCCTGCGACTTCTTAAGCAATCCATCGGTGTTCAACATGTTCGGAACTTGCTACCAAACGGGTTTCGCGCTCGCGCGTGTCGATATCATCCGAACGCCCTTGCGAGCGTGCTGTCGCGAGAACTTTTTGGACAAAAACAATGCGAATTTCCCGCGCGCGCGTCGTCGCGCGCGCATGCCGGAATTCTTCCATCAAAAAACCTTAGGCGGCGCGAGGATGTCAAAACCGAGCGTCCCGAAACCATCCAAAGCATATGGCTTCGCAACATCAGTTTTCATCACAAAATGCGCTCGCGCTCTTTCGATTTTTTTAGAAAACCATCGGTCTTTCAATCTTGTCATAGAATTCTACCAAACGCGCCTCTCGCACCGCATGCCGCAATCATTCGAATGCCTTTGCGCGCGTGCTGGGGTGGGGTGGGCGCGATCCGCGTCGAATAACACCACGCGGGCTACTCTCGCGCGTCGGCCGCGCGCGCATGTCGAACTTCTTCCAAAATTTCTTCCAAAAACCTTCCGGAACCCACGCACGCGCCAGCCCAAGTCGCCGATTTGCAGAGAAATCCCCGCTGGGATGCGCCCAGCGGTCAGCGCCGCCGCGGCCGCGTCGGTCGCGCCAAACTAGCT